TAAATAAATGTAGGTGAGAATACAATTCTCAGTTAAGATAGGCAGTAATTGGAGTTTAATATAAGACAATAATTAAATTGCATAATGCAGCTTTCTTCAAAGTGTACATCATGTACAGCTGTGTTCAAAAGTTTGCATACCCTTGGAGAATATTTATAGAGTGGCTCGATGACATTAAAGTGGGAGACTGTGATGGCCACTCAAGAGCCTTCATCTTTTTTATGCTGTAACCACTGGAGGGTCAACTTGGTCTTGTGCTTAGGGTCATGCTGGTACATCCAAGAACATACCATGCACAGCCTTTGCACAGAAGAATGTAAATTGTCTGCCAGTATTTTCTGATAACATGCTGCATTCATCTTGTCATCAATTTTCACAAGATTTCCCATTAGAGCTCACCCCCCTTCCCCCTCCCAAAACATCAGTGAACCACCACAATGCTTTCACAGTGGGGTTAGTATTCTTTTCACTATAGGCCTTGTTGACCTCTCTTCAAACATATCGCTTAGGGCCTGTGGGTTTTTCTTTGTATCCCAAACAATTCCTCTGCCAGTTGTGGCTGAAATCTTTCTTGGTCTACCTGTCCTTGGTTTGGTATCAAGAGATCCCTGAATTTTCCACTTCCTAATAAGTGATTGAACATTCCTTGCTGGCATTTTCAAGGCTTTGGATATATTTTTATATCCTTTACCATCTTTATAAATTCCATTACCTTGTTGTGCATGTTTTTTGACAGGTCTTTTATGCTCCCCATGGCTCAATATCTAGCCTACTCAGTGCATTCACGTGTGAGCTAACAAACTCATTGACTATTTATACACAGACACTAACTGCAATTTAAAAAGCCACAGGTGTGGGAAATTAACCTTTAATTGCAATTTTAACCTGTGTGTGTCATCTTGTGAGTCTGTAACAAGGCCAGACATTCAAGGGTATGTAAACTTTTGATCAGGGCGATTTGGGTAATATGCCAAACAACTATGTGATAATAAACGGCTTCATATGATCACTATCGTTCAATAAAATACATGTTGTAGCATGATCGGTCATAACTTCAAAATAATGCCAAAATGTCACAATTTTTGCCAGGGTATGCTAACTTTTGAGCACAACTGGATATATTTTATTCCATATACAAAGTAATAAAGACTGTTTTAGCATCTCATACATTTTGTTTTGATCTTTATAATTTCTATATCTCTGCTGACAGACTGGGGTGCAATAAGCATTAAAACCAAATAAGCACATTGTAATATAGAGAACAGTACCTACATGACACAAATTACACAATTCCCACCTATCCATCAAAACAAAATCTAATAGCACACTGACCGCAGTCCACTCTTTCAAATTCTTGGGTATGATGTTAGACCCCAATCTATCTTTTGGCCTCCACATAGAAAACTTGCATCTAAACTTTATCTAAAACTAGGTGCCCTGTACATAAACAAATCCCGCCTAAGCCCTACAGTAAAGGAAAAGATTGCACAGCAAATGCAGATGCCAATCATTGATTATGGGGATGTAGTATATGCACCAGCACCACAAACCCACCTTTATAAACTTAATGTATTGTATAACTTGTTCTGCTGCTTTGTAATGACATTACCCACCATTGTGTAATGCTAAAAGAACTAAACTGGCTTTTGCTGGAATGCAGATGCACCCTTCATCTTTAAAGCCTTGTGTTTAATAGCTTTTCTGGGAAGCCCCCACCCTACCCCGGCTGTTCCCACCTCTTATATCCTCTGATCCAGTACCAGCACTTTATTTAATCTACCTCAATACAAAAAGAAAGCAAACCGATTCTCCTTCTCCTACAGAACACCGTAATTATGGAACAACCTCCCGCACACTTTCAAATCTTCCCTAAGCCTAAAGTCCTTTAAGAGATCCTTCTCTACATACCTCAAAACAGAATGCACCTGTCATGGTTCATTATATATTTCCTACCTGTTCTATGTTACATTTTGTATACATTGTGTCTTAATACACCGTGTTCCAAATTATTATGCAAATTCTATTTAACGCCTCAAGGACACAACTTCTGGAATAAAAGGGAATCATGACGGAATATTCCCGTCATGTGTCCTTAAGGGGTTAAGTGTCACAAAGATTAAATATTTTTTTTTCAATTGAACTCATGGATGGCATTGTGTCTCAGGGCTCTTTTGATCACTGGAAACAATCTCGGACACCTGTGATAATTAGATTGCCAGGTGAGCCCAATTTAAGGAAAAACTACTAAAGGAGGGTGTTCCACATTATTAAGCAGAGCACCATTTTCATGCAATATAGGGAAGAAAATGGATCTCTCTGCTGCTGAAAAGATTGAAATAGTTCAATGCCTTGGACAAGGTAATGAGAACATTAGATATTTCATGAAAACTTAAGCGTCATCATCGCACTATTAAGAGATTTGTGGCTGATTCAGAGCACAGACGGGTTCGTGCAGATAAAGGCACATTGATGAAGATTTCTGCCAGATCCATGCATCGGATCAAGAGAGCAGCTGCTAAAATACCATTACATAGCAGCAAGCAGATATTTGAAACTGCTGGTGCCTCTGGAGTCCCACAGAGATCAAGGTGTAGAGTCCTCCAGAGCCTTGCAACTGTGCATAAACCTTCTATTTGGCCACCACTAACCAATGCTCACAAGAAGAAATGGCTGCATTGGGCAGAAAAATACATGAAGACTAATTTTCAAACAGTCCTGTTCACTGATGAGTGCCGTGCAACCCTGGATGGTACAGAGGGATGGAGTAGTGGATGGTTGGTGGATGGTCACCCTGTTGCAACAAGGCTGTGATGTCAGCAAGGCGGTGGTGGAGTCACGTTTTGGGCTGGAATCATGGGAAGAGAGCTGGTCAGCCTCTTTAGGGTCCCCGAAGGTGTAAAGCTGACCTCTGCAAAGTATGTGGAGTTTCTGACTGACCACTTTCTTCCCTGGTACAGAAGGAAGAACCATGCTTTCCGTAATAAAATCATCTTCATGCATGACAATGCACCATCTCATGCTGCAAAGAATACCTCGGCATCAATGGCTGCTATGGGGATAAAAGGAGAGAAAGTCATCCTCCCCTGACCTCAATCCTATTGAGAACCTTTGGAGCATCCTCCGGCAAAAGATCTATGAGAGTGGGAGGCAGTTTACATCCAAACAGCAGCTCTGGGAGGCTATTCTGACATCATGCAAACAAATTCAAGCAGAAACTGTCCAAAAACTCACAAGTTCAATGGATGCAAGACTTGTGAAGTTGATGTCAAATAAGGGGTCCTATGTTAAAATGTAACGTGACCTGTTAAATGTTCAAAAAGTTAAAATGTTGTTATAAGTTTGATTGAAATAGCTTTTGATTTCAGTAAATATGCTGCAAACACAACAAATGACAATTTTCAGTTCTTTACAACCTATAAAGTGTTTAAAAAAATACTGTTATCATTAGGAGGTTTGTTCAATAAAATTTGAATTTTACTCTTAAAGGACCACTATAGGCACCCAGACCACTTCAGCTTAATGAAGTGGTCTGGGTGCCTGGTCCAGCTAGGTTTAACCCTTTTTTCTATAAACATAGCAGTTTCAGAGAAACTGCTATGTTTATATTAGGGTTAATCCAGCCTCTAGTGGCTGTCTCATTGACAGCCGCTAGAGGCGCTCCCACGCTTCTCACTGTGATTTTCACAGTGAGAAGATGCCAGCGTCCATAGGAAAGCATTGTGAATGCTTTCCTATGGACTGGCTGAATGCGCACGCGGCTCGTGCCGTGCATGCGCATTCAGCCGAGGAGGAGGAGAGTCCCCCGCCCGGCGCTGGAGAAAGAGGTAAATTTAAGCCCTTCCTCACCCAATAGCCCAGTGGGAGTGGGACCCTGAGGTTGGGGGCACCCTCAGGGCACTATGGTGCCAGGAAAACGAGTATGTTTTTCTGGCATTATAGTGGCCCTTTAATAGTTGATAACATGAGAATTATGCTAACTGTTATATACATACATTATTTAGGTAAATGAGAAAAATATCATTTGCATAATAATTTGGAACAGGGTGTATTGTTTTTGTATTTTATTGTACCCTAATGTATCAATGCAATGTTTTGTGGACCCAGGACATACTTGAAAACAAGAGAAATCTCAATGTATCTTTCCTGGTAAAATATTTTATAAATAAATAAATAAATAATGGTGTAACAGACCCAGCTAGCTCATTCCCTGCATTATTTTATCAGTAGTTATCATGTATGATGTATTTTCCCTCAGGTCACGATATTTTGTTATTTTTTATTATCTCCCACCTCTGACTGAAGACTTTGCCATGCATTCACTACTTGTTCTGTAAATTAAAGTTTAGAAGGCGATTATTCACTAAACAGCAAGCTGTGATGAATTGCTGACTTGACAAAGTTAAACTAAGATCAATACATTTGTAAATTATCTCCAGCTACAATAAAGGATTTTTTTAGAATCTGTTGTTTTTACTTAAATTTTGCAGTGTCTGCCAGCTGTGCACAATTCTCTGTCACCAAATATTTCACCTTTATTACTGTCACCTCATCGATTTCAGACCAACATAAACTGCTCTCTCCATAATGTGTCTGCAGAATTAAATCAATCAATCACAGTGTGTTTTCTGAACTCTCTCCCCTCCTGGTCCAGAATGTCCCATAATGCTTCAGTAGGTTCTAATCATCAGATCTCCAGCCCATCATTCCCAAATGAACTTTTCTCTACAGCAAACAACACAATTTACACGTTAAAACTCATTCAGTGACTGTAACACATTTGGAGTTTGTGAAACGACTGCCATTTTTCTGACCCATTTCTAAATCTCCCCAGATTGAACACAGAGCCTCCTCACCTCGTCCTTTTCGTCAGTCACTCAACAAAGGAACACTATGGTCCACAGACTGTGTACCATCCATTGGGCTAATTGCTGCCACCCAGGAGTACTGGGAGTTTGAGTGCAGGGCTTCATTTTGTGTGTGAGGTATTATACCATGTTGCCATGGTAGCACAGGACAGTCAGTATGCTCTGTACTTTGTTGCCAGGGTAACACTGTACAGGCAGTATGCTCTGTACCGTGTTGCCATGGTAGCACAGGACAGTCAGTATGCTCTGTACTTTGTTGCCAGGGTAACACTGTACAGGCAGTATGCTCTGTGCCATGTTGCCATGGTAGCACAGGACAGTCAGTATGCTCTGTACTTTGTTGCCAGGGTAACACTGTACAGTCAGTATGCTCTGTACCATGTTGCCATGGTAGCACAGGACAGTCAGTATGCTATGTACTTTGTTGCCAGGGTAACACTGTACAGTCAGTATGCTCTGTACCATGTTGCCATGGTAGCACAGGACAGTCAGTATGCTATGTACTTTGTTGCCAGGGTAACGCTGTACAGTCAGTATGCTCTGCACTACATTCAGCAGGTTCATAGGAGTATTGTTCTTTCTTGGCGAGATGGTGCAGAACATCCTGATTAAACTGTTTTGTATACTATGGTTCTTCATTGTAACTATGACTTTAAAAGGAGTTTCTGTTTCTAGACATGGGAGAATCTGTTGTTCTGTCATCCTAGTAAGGTCAGGTACCTGGTTTGTCTCCCCTTAGGGACGGAGATATGTGGCAAAAGTGACCTCGCCACTGGTTTTTGGAGGGGCCTATTTGCTTGCCTCCTACTCTGGGACTATGGGCCCTGCAATATACGTTGCCCAATACACTTTAAAAGGTTCCATTCATGTAATGTAAGTACTTTTATACTCCATAAAGAGAGACCGACCGTTGACCCTAATTTCCAGGAATTCTTTTGGGCACAGGACCGTGCACGGTCGGTCAAAACTAGGACTTCCAGGAAATTCCTGAACCCCTGAACCGATCTGGGTGATTTTTGGATATGTTGTTCACCCAGATCGGGGCTATCAGAGAATGTAACTTATGGGGATATGTTATGTTTTGCGATACTTATTGGACTTTATAAAAAAAATTATTTTTTCTACCTGGGGATAACTAAGTTACTGCATTATCTGCCTTAATTATATCACAGGCAGAGGGGAGGGTTTGTGAACTGTATGTGAGAGTGTCACATGATTTCTCTTGGCTTGTACACTTTGTGTCCCTGTGCCCAACAATGTCCACCTGGGCATCACCTTTTTTGGGAAACCTGCATAAAAGGCCAGTGGGCCTCAATTAAAATTGAGTTCCTGTTTATCCTCAACATAGAGCCTCGTCTCATGTGTGGGGGAAAAGGCTGCATCTATCATGGGGATTGCTATCTCACTATACTCCCCTGGGATTATAATAACTAAGCTCTTTTAAGAGCTGTTCCTGCTACGCTCTCTGGGAGTAGGAGAGGTCTGCCCACTGGAAGCTAGATCCCGGTCTTGGGTCCAGAGTGGGTGAAGGACGATGAGACCCCAGCGCAGCTGCATTGCTGGCAGTGTGGTCTGCAGTGTTTATGGTGTCTAGTGGAGTGCTGGAATTCCTCAGTGAGCACTAGGAGCATCGATTGGCGGAGGCACTCAGTTGGAGTGCAATGTGGTCTGTCACAAGGTTTATTGCAGCATTTCCAGGGCCAAATACCACAATGGAGGTAAGTACATAGAACGTCTGTGTTAAAGTGATTTGCCGCCTCGAGTCATGTACTTTCCCTAATGCAGGAATTAATTTGGTATGAAAGTTACAGTTGGCTGACTATAGACAAAACAGCACTTTTGTATGAATATTAGCCATACTTTTGGCTTACAATCCTTAAAACGTTTCTATTATTGAATGTGCATCATTTTTTTTTTTTTTCAATTTGACAGTTTTTATTGGACAGTACATGTGAGTTTCACTTCAAGTTACATTTGCTTTCAACAAAAACTTTTGTCATGACATATTGTATGCATAGATTCTTAGGTACATTCGTGGTTACGCGGGTAGATGGATGCGTAAGATTTATTATGGTACAGCATACAATACAAGTCAAGTCATACAGAGAACATAAGGATTTTTTCATAGTTGCCTGCACTGTGCCATTTTAAGCTAAAATCTAGGGTGGGAGGGAAGGGGAGGGGAGGGGAGAGTCAGGGAGGGTGGGGGCAAGGAGAGTATAACTTGGTGAGAGAGATCTGTAATATGTGTTGTGTGGTGGGTAGAAGTTGGGTTGTGTCTTTTCTGTGTGGTTTGAGGGTCTAAAAGAGAGTGTGCAGCGTTAAGGGTTGTGCCCAGCTGTTCTCTATTTCCAGCCAGTGGGGTGAAGAGGGGTGCGTCTTTAGTTGTGGTACTACAGTTAATGCTGCTGCTCTGTAGTATGCAGTCAAGTCTGGGAGTCCCAGTCCCCCCTGCTGCAATGGTTTCTGTAGTAATTTAGTTGCTACTCTGGGTTTTTTGTTCTGCCATGTGGTTAGTATTTTTGTTAGGGTCTCAAGGTATGTCTCCGTTAGAAGTATTTGCAGTGTTCTGTACAGGTATTGTAATTTCGGTAGAAGGGACATTTTTATGTCTGCTATGTGTCCCACCCATGACAGTTATGACCCCACCCACGTCTCTAGTGTTGTTTTAAATGCAGTTGGTAGTTCGCTTTGAACAGGGAGGCTGTTTTTTTGCCATTTTGATGCCTAAATAGGTTAAGTAGTCCTCTCTCCAGTCTAGGGGGAATGTGCCTTTAAGATTATCCAATTGGTCTTTATTTATATTTAGGCTTAGCGCTTGTGTTTTAGTGACATTCAATTTTTAATATAAGACATGGCCATATGATGTAATGTGATGCATGAGGTTAGGCAAGGAGATGTGTGGTTGTGTTAGGGTTAGGAATACATCATCTGCGAAACTACTTAGCTTGTATTCTCTTTGGTTTAGTTGTATCCTGTGGATTGCGGGTTCCGCCCTGATCCTGGCTGCCAGAGGCTCCAACGCCAGGACATACAGCAGCGTGGACAGGGGGCATCCCTGATGGAGCCATTGGATATTGTGAATCCATTCGAGCAGAATCCTGCATTGATGACTCAAGCTGCTGTGTCAATGGATTGAAAGGGGAAGCCAAATTTCTTTAGGACGGCCTGTAGGAAGTGCCAATTAAGTCTGTCAAAGGCCTTCTCCGCATCTAGTGACATGAGAAGGCCACTTGATCCTTTTCTCCGTTTGCTGTGTATTAAGTCCAGGACTTTCCTGGTATTGTCTGCCCCTGTCTTCCCGCTTCAAATCCCAACTGATCATCACGTTTTAGTGTTGGTAGTATTGAGCGTAGATTTTTGCGTATAATTTAGCGCCTGTGTTTGGGAGTGAGATTGGTCTAAAGTTGGGGCAGTGAGTTGGTAGTTTACCCGGCTTAGGGAGTGTGATGATGTGTGCTAGTAACAGTTCTTTTGGTAATGTTTTTTCCTTGGTGGCAGTATTGAATAGGGGCGCTAGTGGGGGGCTAGGTAACTGGCATATTTTTTATAGTATAGGCATCATTTATTTTAACGTATAATTATTTCATTTCAGTGGTGTCTATTATCTTCAAACAAAGGGAACAGCCATAAGGGCAAACTTTGCTCCATCATACGCAAATCTATTTATGAGATTTTGGAAGTTGTCATCTATCCTAGAGAACCCCTTTTGGGTGGAGTATCTTACGTTTATCACTGTTATATTGACGACATTCTAATTACGTGGAAAGGAGACTGGGATGAAATAGATAATTTTGTGAACTTTCTTAACTCAAATGATTTGGAACTTTCTTTTACCTTTAACAAGCATAAATCTAAGATAAATCTAAGATATAATTTCTTGATCTTTAAATTTTGGGGGAGGAAGGTCTGGTGTTGACTAAGGATTTCCCAAAAAAGGTACTTCAGAATAAAGGTTCTATTTGTTATATATATATATATATATAGGCATTTTACATAAACAATGGCCCATACTCAAGGTGGTTCCATGGTTGAAATTTAGTATGGTTACTTTTAAAAGAAATAAGAACATCAAAAACATTGTGGCCCCTTTGAAATATATGTTATCTCATGTTCAGAATCAGACTATAAATACCATGTGGGGAATTTTAGATGTGGGGTTGCTCGGTGTCTCACTTGTAGCTTTTTTCTGTCATGGAGCCTACAGTTTGGATCCACATTTATGGATGTCATATTTATGATCAGTCAGAGGATGAATTGTAATTCCTAATTTTTAGTATAACTCTTCGTCTGTACATGTGGTCTCCACTATGTGGGACAGACTTCTAGATCTCTGAAGAATTGATTCAGTAAACACTAGCACTGCATTTCCAGTTAGTCCATGATATTGACCCCTTGCATATATTGGTGATGAGGATAGAATTAATCACCAAGATAAGCAATGTAGCTAAGAGGAAAAGAGTTCTTGCAGCAACAGAAAATAAATGGATATTTAAACTAAATACCCTAAACACAATGAAGAGTTAGATCAGGGTCTGTAGTATTAACCTTTTTATTTTGTTTTACTTATATTTTAGCCAAATATGAAATGGGGATCACCCTGATTTTATTTGGTGTGCGTTTAAGTCTACATTTGATATTTGCTGCTTTTAGACCACAAAATATTTTTTACCCTGCGCACAGATCCTTTTTTTAATGTGTTTGTATTTTTGATCCATGTTGATTTTATTAATTATTGTTCTCTTATAATTTTCTGAGGGATATGGAGTACAAGGTTTGGTTTCTTTTTTTCTTTGCTTGGGAATAAACATTATATGTTACTTATATGTTTTGAATTATATGCAGATAGATAACAGAAGCCTTGATGAATATTCCATGTCTGGTTTTCTAGCTATTCTCATTAATATCCTCTTTGAGGCTATATATATATACTGTGTCTGAAGACCTTGGATCTTAGTCTTGACAAAGTCTCAAAAACAGCTGATACGTGTAGACATGAGGTCCCTATTTTAGAGAAACTTTTGATTTCAGGTACTGTCTCTTTAATTGTACCGTGGCCTTTTTTGAAGTTACCAGCCGTGGCTCCATTATGTTCTAATTCAATGTGTGTTCTTTAACAGGATGGAGCTGTTTCTATATTTCATCTTAGCTTTTAACCTGCATGCCTTCCTTCTATCTGTCCGGAGTTGTAATGGAGTCCATGGGTTAGCACTGAAAGGTTATAAACTGGCCAATGAAGAGAGTGTTGGCTATACTTTGCCAGGAGACATCACTCTGGGTGGACTCTTTACTCTCCACTTGGATGTGGAATATCCCGAACTATCTTTCAGGAGAAAGCCAGAGCCATTAAGATGTAGCATGTAAGTCTGCCTTACCGACTGAATTTTACTTTTTACATACTTTCTGAAGGAAAAAAAATGCTCTTTTATTTTAATATATATATATTATAGCAGAGCCTGGAATTATGGGAGGAGTTATATATATGGCTTATAAACCTCCAACCTCCTCCCCTTACTTGCAGCCCTATTCTTGAAGTGGTGACCCACTTCCGGTTCAAAGCTGTAAGGACTGACCTCTGGAGAAATTCCTGTATTTTTACATTAACAGTTTGG